AATAAACTGACATATAATAACCCACCCTATCCAAAAAAGAGGGAAAAAACCAATGAAATAAAACAATTAAGAAATGATAAATAGAATTTTATTCAAATTTATCCTTTTTTAAAGATAGTAATAGATAACTAGAATGTGGCAATGAAAAAGGCTATATTGAAGCGAACATTTGGATCTATGGACCTGGTCCCTGGATAGGTGTTAACCCGAAAAATGAATTTATTTTTTAAACGGCTTACATATCAAAGTGCATTTGATTATATATCAGTGTCATTCATGCGACTTCATGATTTGTTGGACCTCATTTCAAATGGGGTGGGGGTGGGGAATAGGCCCTATCATAAAAAGGTAAAACGGACGAGGCACACATTCTGTAGAACATCAAATTTTGTACATGTTAGTAACTTGCTTGCTAGAGTATCCAAACAATCAGTCTAATGGCCCTTAAAAAGTATATTTTCACCATGTACTTTCGAAACTTATGCCTAACACATAATGTGACATATATATACTTTTGTTGATTTTTCTGTGTAGACATGCGGAATAAATTACTTCACATTGTGTCAAGTAGACAATGAAACAAAAATATTCTTTGCCACTTAAAATGGAGCCATTAAAGGCACTGACAATCAGTGCTGACAGGCATCCGTGTACATGGTGTAGGTATACTACAATATGTGTTAAAATACCATGTTATATTTAGCCATTGACAACTCTTAGATTAAGAGCTGAGCTCCTATTCCAAAACAAGCCACATTGAATCCTCTAAATACGCCACACAGGTGCTAATGACGCGTTAAACCTTAATTCACTCACTTACTATATAAGGTCAACCATAGGACTAACAATATTACGACCGTATTGTCATTAAAACAACTCAAAATCCTTGCAAATACATGACTTACTTGTGAAAAGTGATGCCTCTGTTCCTTGTTTCCAATGAACACGTGTTTTTGGCATCCGCAGACTGCACAATAGGAAGGCATGACGCCGATGTAACCGTGAAACTTCTTGTGTTTATGACAGCTTGTACAATACCTTCCCAAGATGGCTGGCCGCTAGACAAGTGACAGGTGCCGGCGCGCGGCATCTAGGATTAGATATCTATGGGCGTCCGATCACAGTTAACATTTCTATATGGTCTACCAAAGTTAAACAAAAATTAAAAAAACTTTGCAAGGGATCTGGTTGTTACATCATGTTGGAGAACTATTCAAGACGAACCTACACCTAGCTGGAAAGTTTCACATGGTCTGCATTTAAGAAAGGCAATTCCATTCAAATGTCTCTATGTCCTCAAATTCACTTCTCGAGCCCCCAGGCACATTACTATTACTTACCACAAGTTGCCATAACCTGCACCCACCGTTTTAAGCCATTCGAATACTGGTACATTTCCGAATGTATACAAATAGTTGGCGTCACCTAAAGTTATCAGATATATAGAGGTTCTTTCTACCATAACCTTTTAACGTAAAAATATATGTATTGTGTACAACATTGTTTCGCCCTCATTGACACTTTCGCGTAGGAATACATCGTATGTTGTCTGATTGGCTCATTAATATGCAAAAAGAGACAAAATCGCTATTTTTGATGCAAAAGACTTATTTATTCAGTAATATTGTTTGGAAACATCCCGTAACATTAGTTCATTGAAAGACGTTACAAAATTACACAAATTGTTTATCTTTCAAAAAAAAAAATTGTAACTAGATTTTATTGCGGATAAGACTAGTGCTTCTTCGCGGGAAAATGTGAATGCAGACACGATTAAGATGGCGTGTAATTTCGAGAACTTCTGATCACTTTCATCAGAACTGTACATCACAATATCAAAGTTGGGAAACCAAAATTACTGCATTTAGCAATTACTATCCCCTTTCCCCCTCCACACAGTTTTGCCGCATCACCGATCTTGACCGCCGGCAAGAATGACAGATCGTCACTGTCAGCCATGTTGATGATGGACAGCAGACGATGAAAACAATCGCACGTGGCGAAAGTAGTTGGGCGTCACAGATCATTGTTGGGTCAAATGTTAATGCCTCGTCCAATAGATTTGGCTGTCAAAAATAATACACGTGTGTATTATGCGTATGAATAAACAATGGATATGGTGTTTAATGAATAGTCTGGGCGTGAGATAACATACGCAGGTTATGGTAGAAATGAACATAACGTAGTTTGATATGTTATGGGCATAACTCGCCTTCCCATCTATATTATGACATTTCCTTAATTTGGAATGCCCTTAGTCGCCTCCTTAGTTGAATAGTTTGCTCTTAGCAATCAATGTACATGTACATATCACACATCATCATTAATTACACATTTAAAGAGTGATTAAAATTTGAACTAGAAAATATCATATGAACGTTTTACGGATTGGACGAATCGCTTGGTTCTCTGGACTATTGAATATTTCATATACATCGCATGTATATTTTGTATATGAAAAATTGTTGGCCTTTTTGTATGCAGGACCATCACAAAAGTATGTATTTAACAAAAATATATATTATTCTTATATCATAAAGGTTGTTACTGTAGACAAGTGTTTTTTTTCCGCTCAATTTCCGCTGACTTAAACTCAAATTCGATGAAACCAGGGTAATATACATTTGTATGTACAAAAGTAAGACTTACGTCAAAAAGAAATCTTGGTCTATCGAAGTAAGAAGTATTATGCTCTCAAATGAGAACAAGGTAAAACAAATGGAATCACTAGGTATACTAACGAGCATCAAACATCTCGAGCTTGATATCGTAGAAAGGTATAGGATATTTCGCAATGTGATCTTTATGACAAACAACAACTTCCCCGAAATTTTCATCAAATTGCGTCTTTTGAAAGACTGTGTTGTGAGCTTGCTATGTAAACACTTTACGTTTGGAATATTGCTATCCAGAAATAGGAAATCAATCATAGGGAAATTGAAATAATTACACGTCGGCGGCCGATGTGGAAAAATCTGCTGTATCCTTGATTTCCAATTCTGGTGAGTATATACGACAAGACGTCATCAACACATCTAAAATTGAAACTGAAAGACTGACATGTCATCGTGACCTGTTTTGAGACACCCCTCGGCAGATTCGGTCCAAGATGAAATTAATAACAAGTCGGGCAACAGAGGGGTATAGTTAGTTTGCATCGGCTTGCCAATAATCTGCTGGAAGATCTCATACTGTCAAACTCTACAAAGATGTTGTCAACCAGAATCTGAGTGTAGTTCACAATCACATATCATACCGTCGTTCACCGTTCTTTGAAAAAAAAAACACCATGGAAATGTTCGTTACTATAGATGTTTGCCAAAACTTTTTGGAGTGATCAACATGCAATTTATTCTACTTCTTTAGTAAACATATCGCAATAACAATAACAAAGGTTTGATAGTAATATGAATGGTAGTAAGGGGTTTGGATAAGTTTTGTTTGAACATCAAGACCAGCCAGCAATAAAATGCTGTTTATATGGATTCTTGTGAAGTTTATGAATAAAATAAAAACGAAGATTGTACAAAAGACACAAGTGTATAGCACATTTTAATTCAAAATTAGAGTTAGATACAGTAAAGCTCCCCTCGCCCGTCCAAAAAAAAATATATTAAAATAAAAAATGAAAATAAAATTAATAAATAACACTGCATCATACAGCTGTTTCGTCAGTCTAGGACTTGTTAGTAATGCTAAGGACATACACGCTGAAGCCTAGGCGGCGACTGAGACAAAGTGATCAATAGAAATGTAAAAATGTTACAAAAAATATTCTTTGTTTCATAGTTGTAATATCATATGATCATTATTATATCATAAAACAACGTGAAAATATCATTAAGTTTCGACCTTGATATATCAAGTTACTTGCACATGGGAAAAAAGATTAATGTCATAGATCATTCTTATAAAGAAATGTCAAATATATTTTATTACAATATGTGCTTCACACGCTTCGATAATAGTATCTACAACCAGAAGTTACGTTTTAAAACACTGTTTGCAACAAACTACAAACTCTTCCGATAATGTCGCATATGCACGTGAATAAATCATGTGTGTGTTATATTGAAAATTTGCAATTAATAACCTTCCATAAACATACTTTGTTATCTCTCTGTATAATCGTTATCAAGACGATCATGGTTCCTGGTGACTTTATGGTATCATAATGTTTAATCCTGAGATGATATCTGATGATAAAACATTTTCCTCCTGATCGATAAAACTAGCCTTTAAATATATATATATATATATAGTGAAAATGTGATGAATTCTCCGTGCCAGCAAACATATAAAAATTGGAGAAGAATGGAAAACACGATGAGCTGTAAAACATAAGCGCTTTCATTTCTTCTTCAGATGTTTTACATAATGTACATAGATACAATTGTGACGTCATTAATAATGCAGTTCAATAGTGACGTCATATTTATATGGGAGATAATAAAAGTACAATTGATAATTCTAGGTTAAACTATTTAGTTTGGGATTGAATGCTTTTATGAAATACTTTTCCTTCTCTTTTCTAACAATATGACTGTCTGATAAAACTTTTTAAAATGGAAGTATATGAAAGTTCTTCTTTCCACAAATATCTAAATGTTCACTTAATTTGATCTGGCGATACTATGGTACATTTATATGTTAAGGTAATAAATGTATCTGCTAGAACACTAACAGATGCAGAAATGAATCTTCTTTCAAAAGGCCTTAAATACACTCCCACTCCGCGATCAAATAACCAAGAATTGAAAAATGATATAAAAACTTACACGCGCAGAATAAGATTGGCGGAATATATCTATACGCCACGGGAACAAACTAATGATTGGGAGAGTGAACGAGATATGGATATCGTACGAAACAAGTCGCAATTTCATCCCAAAAAAGGCAGAAATAACACTATCGATAAAGTTTGTGATACACTGAATACTTTAAAATGACCACAAGAACCAGGAAATTCCATTAAAAGCAATATCACAAGAGAGGAAGAAATGACGATGAACTCTTTGTCGAAAGATGAAACAATAGTAATAAAAGAAGCGGATGCAGGAGGTGCAACAGTAATTATGGACAGTGATTTCTGTAAGAAAAAAAATAGGGGGTATCCTTGAAAACACGGAATTTTACCAAATTATTAATGGAAATCAAGATAAAATAACGATGCAAAAGATAAACACGTTGATCAACAATAACACTTCAAGTAAAATTGGTGAAAAAGAACAAGATTATCTTACTGATTTCGAAATTACAGAAAGTTGTTTCTATGGATTACCCAAAATTCACAAATCATCCCAAATAAAAGAAGCCATTAAATTGCAAAATAATGAATATATAACATGCGAAAGTCCAGAAGATCTCCCGTTTAGACCTATAGTAGGAGGACCTAATTCCCCAACACAACGGTTAAGTCATATTTTAGATATTCCTTTAAAACCGCTATGCAAAGAAGTAAAAAGCTACGTCCGGGACGACCTGGATTTCCTCCGACATCTACTGGAAGATACAGATATAAATGCACAGCTTCGATGTCGTAAACCTATATACCAATATTACCGTTGATTTAGGACTAAAGGCGGTTGAATATTGGATGGAAAAGCACCTGGAGAAAGTTAGCCATCGCTTCAAATAGAAATGCATATTGAAAGCAATGTCTTTAATTTTGAGGAATAATACTTTTACATTCAATAACAAACATTATATTCAAATCAAAGGAACAGTAATGGGAACTAAAGTAGCTCCTACTTATGCTACACTTACACTTGGCTACTTGGAAATGATCCTTTATAACGAAACTAAAGAGCGTTGGGGCGAAACTTTGGCAATATATAGCAGAAAACTGGAAACGATTTCTAGATGATTGCTTTATAATTTGGAAAAACACAAGTGAATATTTGCTACAATTTGATGAACTTATAAGCACCCTGGATCCCAAATTCCATTTTTAGACATAATAGTGAAAAAAAAATACTACTGATATCTACCACACGTAAACGGATACTCATCAATATTTACATTTTGGATCTTGCCATCCAGCACGCACAAAACGTGCAATCCCGTATAACTTAGCACGAAAGATCGTTACCATCGTCAGCGAACAACAGATCGGAGAGGAAATCAAAGTAACAAGAACAACAGGAATACAAAGTCACAAAGTGTAAAAATCCACGCTGTGGTATATGTGACTAAATGATGGAAGGAAAATCATATTATTTTGGAACGAAGGAGTTCAGTGTGACTTGCAATATGTCATGTTATTCAAAAAATGTTATATACTTGATAACATGCCCGGGCTGCAAGGAATTTTACATTGGAGAAACTAGTAATACCTTACAAGCTCGAGTTCGCGTACATAAACAACATATAAATGTACCACAGTATCGCCAGATCAAATTAAGTGAACATTTAGATATATATGGAAAGAAAAACTTTCATATATTTCCATTTTATAAAGTTTTATCAGACAGTCGTATTGTTAGAAAAGAGAAGGAAAAGTATTTCATAAAAAACATTCAATCCCAAACTAAATAGTTTAAGCTAGAATTATCAATTGTACTTTTATTATCTCCCATATAAATATGGCGTCACTATTGAACTGCATTATTAATGATGTCACAATTGTATCTATGTATATTATGTAAAACATCTGAAGAAGAAATGAAAGCGCTTATATTTTACAGCTCATCGTGTTTTCCAGTTTTCTAAATTTTATTATATAAGTTTTATAAACACTAATGTATTAATGATTAACTTCATAATTATCCTCGACTTGTATGCTAGTACAAATCATTTCTTGATACGTCGTAACAGGTTTATCAATATGTCACTGAACGGAACATAGAATAGGATATCCCAGAAAGGGGAGATGGGCAGCGTTGGAAATAAGAAATATGTAAATCACCTTTTTCGTTCTTGCATCAACAGAGTTTTTTTGGGATAGTGCTGTTATGCAATATGTATTTTTGTAAGCAAAGTTGCAGTCCTCTTGCATTCCTAATCTGTTTTTGCTGTTAAACATTACCCCCATATAATGGAGTAGTACAGTTTATTCTAGTGCTCTTATTTGGCTGGAAAGACGAAAGAAATGTGTACGGGGAGTTTTATAACTCATTGCTGATAACAAAATTAGCGTTCACTTGCAAGGGAATATTTAATGTTCATATCTGTAATACGAACAATATCTGCCTCCTGAGTCATTGTAAGACGTTAGTCTGAAAGCTGTGTCACTTTACGTTCATGAATATCAATAAGGTAATTGTAAACTACTCAGCGTCGTGGAATTGAAGGAAAGGCAGATTGCTATCGGATGGTGCGGTTTGTTATATCGAAGGAGAGAAAGTCCTGATGCAGTAGCTCTCAATAGATTTTTAATGATCGTAACGTATCGAAATGTTTTACAATTTAAAGATTGCTATTTTCGGATTCTGTCAGATGTTATCTCTTTGCCACCTAGTGATAACAGTAACATACTCGTCTATTCGTGGATTTGCGACAGGAGGTATAACAGACCTCTACCCACAACGTCCTGTCGACAAGGTCATACCTGGAAACATCTCAATGTATCTTTGTTTCATTAAGTGTGAAAGGAATATAAAGTGTATGTCGCTATTTACTAATGCTGGACAGTGTCATCTGTATTATAGTGGATTTGTGGACAACACTGTACTATTACAAGAACCAGGGTGGAAGTTCTATAATATATATACAGGTAGGAATTCAACATTCACACTCAAATACATATTTTTATGAAGCTGTATTGCAAATTACATTAAGCATTTGATGAGGCTGTTTCTTTGTCTTTATGTTGATAGGTGCTATTCATTTGTTTCTTTTGTACAGTCCAATGAGATGATATGTAGAAATTACTGCTGGTGGGATTTAGTCAAGATGGTTACCGAAACTGCACGCAACTTATTAATTTCTCTTTATTGTGACACTATTTAGCTTATTTACCTAAACTTCACGTTCGTTTCAAAACAACAGAAAGTATTGAACATGGGTCTCTCAGTTGGCAGACTGCACGAAAATCATGGTAATGTTAATATACCATTGAATCCACTGCGAAATGGAAAAGGATTTATATAAGTTGTTTAACTTGTTTCCAATTCCAGTTCCTATGTAAACTTTGCTATGTATTATTCGCATGTTGTTATGGAATAAAATAAAGTTTATATTAATCCACTGCGACATGTAAACAACGTAGATTACGTTACGCTGCAGGTTTCTTGCTACCCAGAAATGGAGGATTGACTTTTTGTTTCGCTGTAGGAAAAGATTAGAAAATACAGCTGACTAATAAATGTCTGCCCTTTCCTTGATTTCCAATTTTGGTGGATAAAACCATGGTCGTGATAAATAAATATCTTGTTATTTAAGACAATACGTCTCGAGTTATACGGGTTTGAGATAACGAGATTCGAGGGTACACAGCATCTTTTTTCCTCTTTTTACCAAACGAGATACATAAGACAATATTTTCGATAAAGAGAAAAACTATTTCATACCAGATGTAATAAATACATTTGTGAGTAAGACAATCGATACAACTGTTAAAACATTAAATGAAAATTTCTTACAGTGGCTCTCATCGTGTACGTGCTTCTCAAACTGGGCCAGCGAAAATTTCTTTCAAACAACTAATACAGCATCAGAAATATCAAAACATTTCAATTATCACTGAAATCACTATGTCAATATTATTTTTATCCCGCATATAGTATACCCTGATCTAAAATTGATAACTGGTACAGAGCGGGATATTTCTTGATATTCCTGAAATGGGGAATGTAGAGACCAACATTGATCAGTTGTCTCATCACTTAATGTATTACTTTTTCTTTCTAACATCTATCGTCATATGACCCGGTCTGTTGGTATTTCCTTGGATGGCTGTCCTCATATGATATTAGCTGTTGGTATCTCCCGAGACATCTGTCCTCATATGATATTAGCTGTTGTTAACCTTCCTAGGCATCCGTCCTCATATGTTATTAGCTGTTGGTATCTCATCTAGACGTCTGTCCTCATATGATATAAGCTGTTGTATCTCACTAGACATCCGTCCTCATATGACCCGGGCTGTTGGTGTCTCCCTAGACATCCGTCCTCATATGTTATTAGCTGTTGGTATTTCACTAGACATCTGTCCTCGTATGTTTTTAACTGTCTGTGTCTCCCTAGACATCAGTCCTTTCATGATATTAGCTGTTGGTATCTCCCTAGACATTCATCCCGATATAATATTAGCTGTTGGTGTCTTCCTAGACATCCGTCCTCATATAATATTAGCTGTTGGTGTCTCCCTTGACATCCGTCCTCATATGATATTAGCTGTTGGTGTCTCCCTAGACATCTGTCCTCATATGTTATTAGCTGTTGGTATCTCACTAGACATCTGTCCTCATATGTTTTTTAACTGTTTGTGTCTCCCTAGACATCCGTTCTTTCATGATATCAGCTGTTGGTATCTCCCCTAGACATCCGTCCTGATATGATATTAGCTGTTGGTATCTCCCAAGACATTCATCCCGATATAATATTAGTTGTTGGTGTCTTCCTAGACATCCGTTCTCATGATATTAGCTGTTGGTGCCTCTCAAGACATCCGTCCCGATATGATATTAGCTGTTGTTGTCTCCACTAGACATCCGTCCTCATGATATTAAGTGTTGGTATCTCCCAGGTCACCCAACTGGTCCTATTCTGATCGAATTTGGATTATGTTTATGTTCACTTGTTGGTTTTCGATTAATAACTGATATTGATGTCTCTCTTACAAAATGGTGTACAAATGTCAAAGTAAATTAGCGTGATTATCCTTCAGAAAACAAACAAGAACAACACAAGCAAAAAGAAAAAAATAATAATGTGTAAATATATTTCTCACACCAAACATTTTCATGTATTGTTTTTTCCAAGATGGTTGTCCTATCACCGATGGCTACATACAGAGCAGACAATTAGGACTGTGCTACAAACTACACCTTGGAGGAGTGAGAAACTCGTATGATTTTATGTCGACATGTCAATCAGAAGGCGGAGAATTACTGCGCATCACATCCCAGGAAATACAGGATCACATCGCCGATTTCCTAAGTATACACACCTTTTATAAGTCAGATATTGTGATATTCTTTATTAGATTTCTTTGTTTTTTGTTCTTATATAATGATTTTGGCATCGCTAGTGTTTCATGATATCCTTTAAATACTAACTAAAAACGTATATAGTGATTGTCCTAACAGCAGTGATGGTATGCGTTTTATGTACTCATTATTGGTAATGCCCAAATTTGTCATTACCACAATTGGCTGCAAGTGACGATACATTATAATTTAAGTACAAATTAAGTACGTTTCAAGTTTTAGATTTCATAAAGAAATTAAACACTCATATCTGATAGAAGTAATTTACACCGATACAAATACAATATTTATATACTACAGAACAAACTTATATGACTTATTGTTTAGAAAACTTTGCCAGTGAATTTGGGACCCGTACAAACAATAGTTCATGAACAACTCTTTTAAACCAAATCGTTTGCTAAGGACATGAAACAAATCAAACTGGCCTTTATTAACTTATTCTATTTACAAAGTGTTTACTCTTAGTCTTTGTTTCTGTATTACCAAAAACTTAAAGATAATGTTAAAAGAATTGTTAGCAAGATAACATGTGTCCTTTTCTGAATTACCAATGTAAGCATTGCTCAAATTTCTAAGAAAAAATGCCTAATCAGTTAAACGGCTTTAGAGATGCTCTTTATCTTCACAGCTGATGCCACCTGCCATTTGGTAATACTGATTCAAGGGTCAGACCGCAACAGCGAGGGGACATTTAAATTTGAGGACGGTACGGATTTGTCATACTTCAACTGGTATGGGTCAGAACCCAACAACCACTTGGGCGACGATGATTTTATTTTCCTCGTTCCAGATCAAGGATTCCGGTGGGGTGATGGCATTGGCGTTGCAACAACTGTCTCCTCTTTCATGTGTGAAATAGCTATGGTGTGACAATCGATTGCAAATATTGGTGATATAAAATGCATGCCATGTTTTACTTCATATAGATACTTCTTTTAATATTCGTTAATAACGAAAATTTAACTTATTTTGTGGTTGTTGCACCTATTCTTCTTTTTTTTCTTAAATCATTTTTTATAATTCTATTATTCATGAAGCAGTTGAATACACGGAAGAAAACACCGAAACAAAATCTTAATTGAAACACAAATAGATGAAAATGGATCAAATTATGAATAAAGAAATATTTAATCGGAGACTCCTGAAAAAAATTAAAGGAGAGATACTGTAATTAAGGAACGTGATTATGTTATTTGGGAACGTGATTTTATTTTTTGGGAACGTTATGATGTTATTTGGGAACGTGATTATGTTGTTTGGCAAATTAATTTTGTTATTTGGTAACGTGATAATGTTATTTGGGAACGTCATTATGTTATTTTGGAACGTGATTTTTTTATTTGGAACGTGATCATGCTATTTGAGAGCGTGATTATGTTATTTGCGAACGGGATTATATTATTTGGAATGTGATCATGATATTTGAGAACGTGATCATGCTATCTGAGAACGTGATTTTGTTATTTGGGAACGTGATTATGTTGTTTGGCAAAATAATTCTATTATTTGGTAACGTGATTATGTTATTTGGGAACGTGATCATGTCATTTAAGAAGGTGATTTTGTTATTTGGGAACGCGGTTATGTTATTTGGGAACATGATCATGTCATTTAAGAAGGTGATTTTGTTATTTGGGAACGCGGTTATGTTATTTAAGGCCGTGATTATGTTATTTAGTAATGTGATTTTTGCTATTTTGGAACGTGATCATGATATTTGGGAATGTGATATGGCCTACTTGAATTGATCAAGATTAACAAGATATTTTCCTTAGCAATGTCTCGGGTTACAAACTAATCCTCATGTTTCAATCTATTTATAGAGGAAAATTGTAAAATTTGTCAGACAAATATTGCATCAGTGTCATTCATTTCTATAAGTCTGATATCAGCCTCCCGCCACTTTTGCATGTTCTTGTAATATCGACCCCCGCTGTCACACAGCATGTAGAAATGCCACTTTGTTATGAATTCATAAACACATTAATTATTTGTATTGTTGATATATTCGTCAAAAAATCGATTTAATCGAATCAAACATAACAAAAGCTTTTATGTTTCATCTTCGATTTTTGAAACAAAATTCGGTCAAAATTTAGATATTGCCCGAAGTTAATGAAATTTAGTGTGCACGTATATCATGTGTTAACAAATATAAAAGAAAGATCAATACGGAGACCATAGTAAAAGTGCAGTGAAAACAACAAGTGTTCCGAAGGGTTAGTCTATTGTGCTTCATCCACGACATCCGCCCATAATGTAAATTTTCGTCAATTGAAGTGCCATGGTTGACAACAAAGCAATCACAATGTATAATAACAAAAGAAAAAAGAGAGAAACATTCGGATAATTACAGGAAAAGAAAGATAGACAAAAACAATAGACGCAAAGACAGACAAAATATGGTAGTAACTGCCAGATAGACAGACACACGGACATAATTGATACATGAGAATTGTTTTATTTGCTGGAATATAAAGCTGGTTAATTAGTTAATATCTACTAGAATATATAAGTGTGTAGGGAATTTATTGATATTAGTTTAATATTTACTGGAATATATGAAGGTAGGTAGGGAATTTATTGATAATAGTGTAACATCTACAAGAATACATGAAGGTAGGTAGGGAATTTATTGATAATAGTTTAATATCTACTGGAATATATGAAGGTAGGTAGGGAATTTATTAATAATAGTTTAATATCTACTGGAATACATGAAGGTAGGTAGGGAATTTATTGATAATAGTTTAATATCTACTGGAATACATGAAGGTAGGTAGGGAATTTATTGATAATAGTTCAATATCTACTGGAATATATGAAGGTAGGTAGGGAATTTATTGATGATAGTTCAATATCTACTAGAATACATGACGGCAGGTAGGGAATTTATTGATATTAGTTTAATATCTACTGGAATATATGAAGGTAGGTAGGGAATTTATTGATAATATTTACTGGAATATATGAAGGTAGGTAGGGAATTTATTAATGATAGTTCAATATCTACTGGAATATATGAAGGTAGGTAAGAAATTAATTGATAATAGTTCAATATCTAAAGAAATATCAGTAGGTAGGTAGGGAATTTATTGATAATAGTTCAATATCTAAAGGAATATCAGTAGGTAGGTAGGGAATTTATTGATAATATTTCAATATCTTCTGGAATATATGAAGGTAGGTTGGGAATTCATTGATAATAGTTCAATATCTACTAGAATACATGACGGCAGGTAGGGAATTTATTATAATAAGGAATATATGAAGGTAGGGAATTTATTGATAATAGTTTAATATACTGGAATATATGAAGGTAGGTAATATACTAGAATACATGAAGGAAGGTAGGAAATTTATTGATAATAGTTCAATATCTACTTGAATATATGTCGGTAGGTAGGGAATTTATTGATATTAGTTCAATATATAGTGGGATATATGAAGGTAGGTAGGGAATTTATTGATAATATTTTTATATCGACTTGGATATTTGAAGGTAGGTAGGGAATTTATTGATAATAGTTCAATATCTTCTGGAATATATGAAGGTAGGTTGGGAATTCATTGATAATAGTTCAATATCTACTAGAATACATGACGGCAGGTAGGGAATTTATTGATGATAGTTCAATATCTGCTAGAATACATGACGGTTGGTAGGGAATTTATTGATAATAGTTTAATATCTACTGGAATACATGAAGGTAGGTAGGGAATTTATTGATAATAGTTCAATATCTACTGGAATATATGAAGGTAGGTAGGGAATTTACTGATAATAGTTGAATATCTACTGGAATATATGAAGGTTGATAGTGAATTTATTGATAATAGTTTAATATCAACTGGAATATATGAAGGTAGGTAGGTAGGTAGACGGTAGGTAGGGAATTTATTGATAATAGTTCAATATCTACTGGAATATATGAAGGTAGGGAGGGAATTTATTGATATTAGTTAAAAATCTACTGCAATATTTGAAGGTAGGTAGGTAATTTATTGATAATAATTCAATATCAACTGGAATATATGAAGTTAGGTAGGGAATTTATTGATAATAGTTCAATATCTACTGGGATACATGAAGATAGGTAGGGAATTTATTGATAATATTTCAATATCTACTGGAATATATGAAGGTAGGTAGGGAATTTATTGATAATATTTTTATATCGACTTGGATATTTGAAGGTAGGTAGGGAATTTATTGATGATAGTTCAATATCTACTAGAATACATGACGGCAGGGAGGGAAGTTATTGATAAGAGTTTAACATCTACTGGAATACATGAAGGTAGGTAGGGAATTTATTGATAATAGTTTAATATCTACTGGAATATATGAAGGTAGGTAGGGAATTTATTAATAATAGTTTAATATCTACTGGAATACATGAAGGTAGATAGGGAATTTATTGATAATAGTTCAATATCAAAGAAATATCAGTAGGTAGGTAGGGAATTTATTGATAATAGTTCAATATCTACTAGAATACATGACGGTTGGTAGTGAATTGATTGATAATAGTTCAATATCTACTTGAATACCTGACGGTAGGATGGGAATGTATTGATATTAGTTGAATATCTACTGGAATATATGAAGGTAGGTAGGGAATTTATTGATAATAGTTCAATATCTAAAGGAATATCAGTAGGTAGGTAGGGAATTTATTGATAATAGTTCAATATCTACTGGAATACATGAAGGTAGGTAGGGAATTTATTGATAATAGTTCAATATCTACTGGAATATATGAAGGTAGGTAGGGAATTTATTGATAATAGCTCAATATCTACTGGAAGATAAGAAGGTAGGTAGGGAATTTATTGATAATAGTTTAATATCTACTGGAATATATGAAGGTAGGTAGGGAATTTATTAATAATAGTTTAATATCTACTGGAATACTTGAAGGTATGTAGGGAATTTATTGATGATAGTTCAAAATCTACTGGAATACTTGAAGGTAGATAGGGAAGTTATTGATAATAGTTCAATATGTAAAGAAATATCAGTAGATAGGTAGGGAATTTATTGATAATAGTTCAATATCTACTGGAATATATGAAGGTAGGTAGGGAATTTACTGATAATAGTTGAATATCTACTGGAATATATGAAGGTTGATAGTGAATTTATTGATAATAGTTGGAATATATCTACTGGAATATATGAAGGTAGGTAGGGAATTTATTGATAATAGTTTAATATCTACTGGAATATATGAAGGTAGGTAGGGAATTTATTGATAATAGTTTAATATCTACTGGAATACATGAAGGTAGATAGGGAATTTATTGATAATAGTTCAATATGTAAAGAAATATCAGTAGGTAGGTAGGGAATTTATTGATAATAGTTTAATATCTACTGGAATACATGAAGGTAGGTAGGGAATTTATTGATAATAGTTCAATATCTAGTGGAATATATGAAGGTAGGTAAGAAATTAATTGATGATAGTTCAATATACTGAATATATGAAGGTAGGTAGGGAATTTATTGATAATAGTTCAATATCTACTGGGATACATGAAGATAGGTAGGGAATTTATTGATAATAGTTCAATATCTACTGGAATATATGAGGGTAGGTAGGGAATTTATTGATAATAGTTCAATATATAGTGGGATATATGAAGGTAGGTAGGGAATTTATTGATGATAGTTCAATATCTACTGGAATATATGAAGGTAGGTAGGGAATTTATTGATAATAGTTCAATATGTAAAGAAATATCAGTAGGTAGGTAGGGAATTTATTGATAATAGTTCAATATCTACTAGAATACATGACGGCAGGTAGGGAATTTATTGATATTAGTTTAATATTTACTGGAATATATGAAGGTAGGTAGGG